GAAACTTTAATGGTACTAGAACATTCTTCCCCCCCCTCCTCCTCCTCCCAACGATCCTATTCACTTGAAAAGTTTGTTGTGACTCTCTTCACCCCACCTTGTCGCGCGTACGTATGTTGAGGAAATTGGCAGTGGCTTCTTTGACCTCTACTACTGTTGTGTTCCCTCAAAACTCAAACACACAGCAACTTGTTCTAATGAGTTACCACTTTACAAAGGCTCGAGCCATGATGTGCTGAAAATTTTATCCTTCATAATTTATCAGCTTTGAGAAGTTCTGCATTTCCTTGAAGTAATTTTTATCAGTGGACGCCTGGTTAAATTCACTCTGTTTTCACTTTTGCTATGTAGTCCTTCCTCTATTTATAGATCAGTGAGGGGAAACCAAAACAACCAGGCGAAGCGCCACAAAAAGTGTACTTGTTACCGGAGCTTGTATATCCCACAGGATTGACGGATGATATGAGGCGTGATTTTCGACGGATGAAGGAGTTATCTCTTCGCACACGTTTGGATCCGGAAAAGAGACGTCAAACAACGGAAAGCTTGCTCGATAAGATACTCCAGAATGAGAACTGCGTTACTTTGATGAGAAATTGGGGAATCGAGTTACATAACAAACTCGTCAGTTTCAGATCAAGGCAATTACCACCGGAAACGGTAAGTGGTGGTCTGGGAAAACTAATGCTAATCAACGACAAAATAATTTAGCTGCTTGGATCAGACCCGCGTGGATACACAGGAATACGAGCTGAATGGGCCAAACATGTCAAGATTAATGGCAACTATCGAGGGATGTGCTTGGTAAACTGGGTGCTGATTGCTCCAAATAGTGATGATGGTCAGCGCCTATCTCAGGATTTTGTTCGTAAGTCCAGATACACAGATTGATTTACTTTTGAACTTATTTTCATATCGTCACGATCATATAACTTGCTGGGTGATTAATTTGAAGAAAATCCTTTAGGTGAAGTGGGTTATATCTGTGATGTAATGAACGTGCGATTCGGGCACCCGTTGGTTCAGTTTTGTAGGAACACTACTGTAGCCGCCTACCATGCGGCCATAAGTGATGCAATTGCTAGGGTAATTGAGTTGCTACTTACATCCATTGCATATGTTAATTATGCTTGTGTTAACCCTTAGGCTGCTGGTCAATCTATTCACATGATGGTCTTGATTTTGGCAGATGATAGTAAGACTAGATACGATGCGCTGAAGAGTTGGCTTTGTACGGAGACGAACAGTGAGTGATGATGTTATCGAAAATATTTTTCAGAGACTGAGTTGCAATCATATAGTACACTTCGAAGAATTATTGCTTTTTGGCTCATTTTGTGACATGATCCCTTTATTCTAATCTATGTTTACTCAAACGATGTAATGCATATTTACAGTGTCTAGTCAGATTTTGCAGTGGAAAGCTAGCCAATATTAGTTCTTGTACGTGCTTTTCTAAAGTGCAATTGCTTATTTTTTGTTTGCAGTACCATCTCAATGCGTGCAGCTTTCCACTTTGCGCGGACGGCCGCATGATCGCGGTCGAAGTAAAAACTTTGCATCAATCGTGCTGAAAATTGCTTTGCAAATGAATTGCAAAATGGGTGGAGCACTTTGGAGAGTGTCTATCCCGGTAGGAGGAAGTACCTGCAATTTTTTTTCTCCAGTTGACGTTGCGCTGTACAGATAAAAAGGGCTATGATTATTGGCTATGATTTGTATCACGACTCGACTCTTCGCGGAAAAACAATTGGTGCTTGCGTCTCCACCATAGACCAGGAGTATACGGAATTCTTCTCGCAGACGCGCCCACATGAGAATCCCACGCAACTTGGAACAAATCTTAGCTTTTTCATTAGCAGTGAGTTCTCATACAATTTGATGTCGTGGTAAGGTAGTGAGGGCGTCTTTTATTTACATGACTCAGTGTTCTTTTGTCATTGTTGTCGTGCAAGTTAATCGTAGTTTGACTACATTTTAGAAGCCCTTTGGAAGTACTATAAAAGGAACAACAACACATTACCGGAAAAGATCTTTCTATATAGAGATGGTGTTGGAGATGGACAGATCCCCTATGTGGTGGATCAGGAAGTACGCTGATTGCTTAATAGGGTCTTTGGAATAGATTTTGCTTAATTTTGCGCTATACAACGTTTCATGATTGCACGATATTCCTCTCCCACAAAACATCGATTTCTCAATTTTTTCGAAAAGGTGGAGCTTTACTATTGGCGGAAGAGTGCATTTTGGCCACCACTCTCCTTCATTTGTAAGCGCATGTGTTTTACCGACTGTTTTTCAAAATAACGCTGTGAACGCATGCAGACGATAAGGAGCTATATGGCTTAGGGAGTGTTTGGCTGCAATCAAGAAAACTCATTGTGCTTGGCCACCTCGCTGAGGTGGAAATTTCCGACGCTACCCTGCTGTAGTCAAAATAAAAATAGAAGAGCGGCTTGACAAACGACGTCCTCCCCTAGACATGCACGCAAACGTTTGCATCAACTTTGTTTGTTTTTTTTTTGACATTTAGGTACATTGTCAAACCTAAATTATGGTTTACGAAAGTAAATGAGAAAATTTCATAATCACATTTGGAGATGCTTGTCAACGATGTATGTTGTTTGGTCGAAATTTGGTCTTGATGGTTGTGGCGGGCAAATGTCCTTCTGCCACGGTTCGAACAAGGAGCTGCTTTTTTCAGAAGTGATCTCGGGACGTTTCATTCATGGTTTGAAAACAGATGTGCTATCGTGTTCAGTTGCTCTCGACATCTGCATTAGATCTTAAAGCACTTAGCCCGAGTTTTTGCGCTAAACACAAGCAACGCAAGAGATGAACAGGCGAAGAAGATGATTATTGCATGAATCAGTGCCAAACTCATATGCTGACAGATCTGCATACCGAGCGCATAGTCATTATGCGCGATCTGGCATGAAGATTTGATCAGCAAAAATTAATTCAATTAAGCAACCGTGAAGGGCCATGGTTGCTTAATTGATTTAGTCTTTGTTTCTTCGTTTTTTTCCTCTTTTGCATCAATAAACAACGCTGCATGTCGTCAATTATCGCGAAACAGTTTTAAAAACCATGCACTTAATGCAAATCGTTGAAAAAGAAAGAATGATGGCTGAGATGTGCACCAGATTATCGTAGACGCTGAACATATTTGCTAAGAGTAGAACTCCAACTTTCCGATGAAGCTGAAATAGTGATTTTGGGGCTGTCGTATAGTAACGCACTATTTGCATCATAACTTTTACAAATATGCGCACTTGTCGAACACCAGAACTATCGAGTATATGTTTAGGTCGACTTGGTGCAACACGCATGCTCTGATGCTGTGAAGAGAGCTAAAGGAGTTCCAGAGAACTTAAAAATTAAACTTGCATTCATTATCGTAACAAAAAAAGTGAACATGAGAGTGTTCAAGTGTAATCTGGATGGAAGACTTAGCAATCCTGATTCTGGAACCGTTGTCGATTCTGTTGTTACAAGACCTGAGCGTTATGATTTCTATCTTGTACCACAATACGTAAATCAAGGCACTGTCACTCCTGTGTGTTATAATGTAATATACGATGATACCGGTATGGATCCAGACAGGCACCACAAGGTGAGGTTATCAAACCTTTTCTTGAGTTAAATATATTTCTTTACGTTCAGCTTGTGTATAAGCAAATATATTTCTTTACGTTCAGCTTGCGTATAAGCTCTGTCATCTCTACTACAACTGGCAGGGAACCGTTAGAGTTCCAGCTCCATGCCAGTATGCGCATAAACTGGCTTTCCTTGTTGCTCAGACGCTTCACAAGGAAGCCAGTGAGCCACTACGCGACAAACTATTCTTCTTGTGAATTTGCACACTTTTATATGCGGGCATACTACCTCTTGCCTTGTTTTATTGACTTTGTGTCAACTGTGCTCTGTTATTATATCTTGCCATGTACTCATTTTCATTGTGACTACTCATACAGCGTTTTCAAGTCTCATATATTTGTGGTTTTACCTCAGTCTAGCAAAAACTACTCTTCATCCGGGTTGCCCATTTTGAAAGCCTGAAATGGAAGAAAGGGAAGAGGATATTGACTGATACCTTTATTGGATATCTTTTCTTGTAAGAATGGATTTTGCTTATTCTCACACGTGCGATAAGGTGAACATCGGCCTCTCTGGGTGAAGGGGATCACATCAAAGTGTCTCTCTATGGATGGGGTCGACGATTAAAGAAGGAGAGGGGAGGGGAGGGGAGGGATGTTGTAGTACCATTGGAATTTCTATACAATAATTCTGTTCTGTTGAAGAAATAAGAGATTCATTTGAGACGGTTAAAAAGCGATATTAGATGCCAGTTAGGTCCTCCACCGAGTACAGGGACGGAAGATTGCGAAGGACGACGACAAATATGCAAAATTAAATAATAATGTATCAC